CCCCAAAACCCCAAAACCCCAAAACCCCAAAACCCCTCAAGATTAAGGACTTCGATAATTTGGAATAATCCAAAAATATTAATCATTATATATTGAATTTGAATTTAATTAAATTTTCAGAATATGCAGAACGCTTCACCAAAAAGGACTTAATTTTAAAAAGAATTACCACCTATACTTAAATAAACGACAATCCTTCCTCAAGACAGACCTCCAATGCCTTAATAATCTGGGTTAGTTAGTCAAAAGACTTTAAACTCTTAAGCTAAAATATATTCTTGAAATGCGACTCAAACTAAAAACACACTGACCTCTTAGAAATCATTTAATGCGTCAATGCTACATTAATCAGTTGATAATTTATAAAACTCCTTGATAATAAACTCAGCTCATTGAAGAAGGGAAAATACAGTATCAATACTAGATAAGAGCAGAAAGGACGAGTCTAGTAAGGGAAGAATAAGCAATAAAAAGGCCGAATCTAATTAAACTTTATCTGAGGCAGATTCTGAATCTCTTGAGGAATCAAACAAGGCAAGATCAATATCATCTTCATCAGCAAGTAACTTTATCCAGAGAAGAAATCCTTTTGGGGATATTGGAAATTAGAAATCAGGATCAGGAATGTCTAAACCCTATTAGAGTCAGAGCGAAAAAAGATAGAATTTAGATGATTTAAAAGTGATGAGAAGAAAAAATGTAGTGCCAATTGTAATGAATTAACTCCAAGATTTTACAAATCTCAAAAGGATATTTGATGTTGATGTATCTGATGAAAAATTTGAGGAAAGAAGGGTCGTAATGCTAAAATCAATGCTTAGAATGAAAGAAAAAGAAAATATTGTACTAAGAGAATTATTGAAAAGGAAAGAAAATGCATTTTTAAGATGTTCAGAATTATGCGCATTTTTGAGTTAGGTACTTAGCAACGACTATTTAGAAAAAAGAAAAAATAACATTGGAGAACCACTAGGAGTTTAACTCAGCAAAAAAGATACCAGAAAAATCTAAACCAGTCTAGCCTGGCAAGATATAATTCATGAGCATGCTACAAATAATGTAGAAAAAAGAATAATGATGGAAATGGGCCAAGCTATGTCACTGCCTATTTTATCTAAAAGTCCGGAGGATATTAAAACACTCAGAAGTAATTAAAATTTTGTCTGATAAAACATTTTTTAGAAACCGTAGTTACTAAATTGTGTGAATAGGATGAGACTTTTGCCAGGTAGTATCTTTTAAGTTTAATGAAAGAGATTAAGGCAATCAATAATTGAGATAAGAAACTTAAACTGTATTAAGATTCATAGAAAGATGCTTTAGATTTAGTAAACTCTTAATTTCAACATATCTCTAGCTTTAGATCACAAAATAATCAAAGCTAGTAGCATCAATAGTAACATTTAAGTATGGAGCATGCTCGGAACAATCTATCAAGATTAGAAAACTCAATAAATTCACCTTATCCTCGTGGATTAATTGCGATAAATAATCAGAAAGATGCTATTTCGATTATCAATTCCCCAGCAATAAAAAAAGATTTAAATCAAAACTCAATGCAGACTGACCAGTCAACATCAAAATACTTTAACTATGAAACTGCGATGAGACTTGAAACAGATCTATATCTCTTATTTAGATCATTGATAAAGTTTCTAAAAAATGATAACTTTTTGGAGTACTATTAGCATCTCATTCATTTGAAAACTGCGATTAGAGAATCAATATAATCCTTGTTTGATTTTGGTCTAGTGCTGGGATGCCAAGAGAGATTCGCAGTAGAAAAGCAACAAGTTGAGTATTTTTAAGGAATAAATAGATATTTACTTAAAGGTGAGGTTCAAGGAGTAAAAAGAGGGCAAGCCAAAGCAGAGGAATAATCTATAATGGCTTGCATAAGGAGGAAAATCTATCTTAGCTCAAAGAGAATTAAAAAGATTTTAAAGCAGAGTTAACCATAAACATCTGATTATCTGTCTACTCAACTTAATAAATTAAGAGCTAATGAGATAAAAATATAACTCGAGCTATAAGGTCTCTAAACAGAGCTAGAATTGTAAAGGAACTGTAATATTTAGATAGAACAAAGATTAAATTCTATTGATGAATTTTCACTAAAGAAGTTTCACAAGTTCTAAGTTTAACTAAAACAAAAGGTATTCGACTAGTTGAGATAATTGTAAGAAAGGTCTACATAAAAAACATTTATCCTAGAAATGTAAACTGCTCTAAGTAGCATCTTTAAATTTGAGAGATTTTTAAATGGTCAAGATGAATATGAATATGTTAAGTCTTTAACTAAATACAAGGGTAGTCCGAAGCAAAGCCCCTCTAAACCTGAAAATTAATTTGAAAAAACAAATAAAGCAATAATTAATCAGATAAACAAACTTAAGTGCTATTTAACAGATTTTGATAAGATGATGAATGATGTGTGTTAAAGCAAATAAGACGGAAATAAAAATTGATGATAGATAGCAATTTAAAATTTGAAGATATTAATAATTAAAATTAAATTAATCTTAATTTCATGACTTATTTTCTCATTAGTTTATGGCATTTTTATATATCCAAAAGCCATCAATGATTAATTTATCTCTCTTTAATAAAACTTTCATAATTATGATGACTATATTGAGTGCTTAATAATGTCTGGAAATTCTCTCCTAATCGATTTTTTCTATACTTAGATTCCAGATATCTCCATCTACTTTTATTTTATTTTGTTCTTTATATTAATCGCATAATTAGAGAAGTTACTCTAGATAAAGTTTTAATTGTACTAAATGTTTAGCTGCTTCTGTTAAGAGGATGTTGGAGAAGGTCTCTCAGTTATGCTGATCTAACTTGATGCGCGTTTACTATTAATGAAATCAAACTATATTTAATCAGTAACTGAGAAAAAAATCTTACTCTTTTTTAGTTTACAGAGGGGTGTTTCGAAAATGTCAGTGAATTCTTATCATTAAAAGAATCTCTTAGCCATTCATTATCGTTATTTTACTAGTCAATATAGTTTACTCTTCTCACACTTTTTGCGGCTTTCTATTAGATAGCCTCAGTTGAGAATTCCGAATTCATTTTCCTAGTGTTTATAGATTGACCGAAAGACTTTATATCTGCATCAGGTGCTTGGTTCTGCTCATACATTTACTTAGAAGGCGAGTCGGACTCATGCAAACTCAAGTGAAGTCTTTTGTAATTATTTATTTAGTCATAATATTCTCTCTCTACATCATCTTTTATCAAGGAGTAAGGGATAGTAGTCTGAATGTATCCCTTAATTTTTTGATATAGCTGTTTCTTTATTTATTCCAAATGACCTGGCTCATATTCTCTCTCTATTGGTTAGAGTAAATTATAAGAAGCTTACAGTCAGAGTATTTGATTACTGCATTGGAGTCTCTCTTAAGTTATAAGTGCTCATTGATGTTATGGATTTCCATCTTATAAACTAACTAAAAGTTTAGGTTCATAAACTGGTTACAGATTAGTTTAAGATTTGCAATTATTAAAGAGTAAGTTTTCCAAATTACTCATAGTTAGAGCCTATAACTTTAAGCCTCTCCTCGTATTTCTCCATCTTCATCTGCTGTTTATCCAACTGTGTCTGACAGTTTTATCCGTACTCCAACATCTATCCACTTTCTATCTTAATTCTTTCCACAATCTGTTTTATTGCATCATCTAGTTTCTACATTAGGGTTTTTAAGCTGTTAATTTACTTTTTGATTTTGATCAAGCATGTAATAAAACTTTTTCTCATTTACTTCTATTCTGTTGATAACTAGACTTTCCAGATCTTTTACCATTTAAATGAGGGTTTTGCTATTTTAATCCATTTCATCTTTAAATTACTGCCTCATCAAATCATCTTACTCTTTATTTCTTACCATCTTAATAATTGCGTTTCTCATTTGCACTTAAAAGGCATTCATCTTGTTCATACCAGATTTCATTGGCTATTTAATCAACTTTTCAAATGTCGATTCTTGGTGATCTTGTGATTTGAATTAGCTAGACTCATCTCCATGTTACACCTTCTAGAAACTTACGAGAGATTACCCTTCAAATGACTAGGTATTTGCAAAGTCATCGTTATTGTTGTTTTCTTCCATGATTTTTTTGAGCTCACTCATATCTTTACGCTTTTCCTTGTAATCAGTTGGATTTAGCTTCATCATATTTTAGCTAATAATGTGCATATGCTTATGTCTTATTAATCTTTCCTCTTGCATTCCCTAAGCTTCAGGCTCAATATCTTCTCCTGCAAGCATCTTATTAAAATTAGGATCATATTTGCCTGCACTCGAAATAATACCTCGAATCTCTTCAATTAAATTTGGCAAACCCTTGTCCTCGATTATTAGATTTCTTAGTTCGTAGAATTTCTTTTCTTCAAAATCCCTAAGTTTTGCTTTATCTTTAATCGAGAGCACATTCTCAAGAGTTTCACAGATTGAATTCTATACTCTTAGAGGTATATATTTTTCTATATAGTTTTCAAGTCTTAGAAATTCATTTGAGAATTCATCCATGACTGTGTTAACATTGTACAGCTACTGCTTAATATCTGCTTAAAAAATCTCATAGTCCATTATAGCTAATTTCTCAGCTGAAAGAATCTAAATCTATTGATTCAATTTGTCCATTTCGCCTAAAACTCTCTGCATTTGCTTATTAGACATTTCTGACTGTTAGACCACTTTCTTTTATTCCAATTGCATATTCTCTAGCTCTATATGAACCTAATCATTAAATTAGTTAGTTTAAAATATTTTGGCCGAGATTAGTAGTTAATGTTGTAAGAATAATTACCAGCCTAATTTCTTTTTGAAAAGATATTTCCTTTGAATCAGCATATGTCTTGACTTCTAGAATACTTTACTTCACTTCTTTCTTATATTGCACTAATTCATCATTGAGATTGATCATATCAGTTTTCCTATCGTCCATTTTGTTTTGCTACACACCATCATTTATATTTCTAACTAGTATCTTACCAAATTTTTTATCAGTTTCGCCTGCTGTTCAGCTATAAATGCCTAATCTAAGGTCTACTTAGAGACGTTTTGCATTTCCTGCTTGATCAACTCATAGGCAATTTTCCTATGCTTTTCATTTTCAGCAATAGTTATGTTAATCTCATCAAATACTGTTGTGTTTGTTCCACTCTTGATGACTGCATTTTCTATTACTTCAAACTTTTTTTAAACATGATCCAATCTCTTGCTCAGTAGTGCTGACATTTCTCTATCCCTTGTTATCCTCTCTATAGTTGGCTCCATAAATTCTTGAATTACTCTCCTCATTTTAATCTCAAAATCAAACAACTGTAATTCACTTATGTGAGCTAAAGTACATATAATTATGTTTTAAAATGATACGTTCAGGCTGCGGCAAATGCTTTTAGGATTCTTAATGGTCACTATACATATTTTTATTTCGAATTTATAAATTTATTCTTATAGTAAAAAAATAATTATCTCTAGCATTTATTATTTATCCCACCAGGGGTTTTGGGGTTTTGGGGTTTTGGGG